TCCCGCGTGGTTGCCATAGTGAACATTGCAATACACTGTCGCGTGGTTGTGGCAAATATGAAATCGCCTATTCCCAGCAGAACACGAAAACCCTTCGAAACACTTCCCTCGCACGTTTGCTGTTCTCATGAAACAGATTAGAGGTTGGTTATCACCACTGCGCCAGCAAGGACGGACAGTAGTCGCGGCGGTGTTGGGGAGCGACAAGAGGGTGCCACATGGGTTGCGCGCGACCAGTGTTGGTATTAAACGTCGCGTGGGTGACCACAGTGCGAAGGATGTTCGCCGTCCACATGGCATGCAGTGAGAGGGATGGTATTCATAAGCAGGAGGGGGTCATCGTTCCGTGTTCGTGTTCTCGCCACAACATTTGAGCCTCCCTCCCCGAAGAGACTATGGAGTCAATCCCGGGAGAGCTGCTGTCGTCTCCATCCCGCGCACACAACGTGCACATGATCCACCATAGAGGCCACAAAATGTTGAGCGCGTGCTCCTGGCGCTGGTCGTGAGGGACGCGATAGCGCATTCCGTACGACGAATGCCAGGACTGTGCGCGCAACATCCGCGGGCTCCAGAACGAAGAATGCACACGTTGAGTGTGCGCAATGGAGAACGCCATCGCAGCTCGCTACAATGACGATAGTGTTTCTTCGGCGTGAGCGCCGCATGTTTCGTGATGACAACCTCAACACGAAAACATAGCCTCGTTCAATAACGAACAACCTGGGCGCCTTCGGGAAACGTCTCAGTCATCGGGCCAAGGGGTCGCCATTGTGACTGCAAGCGCGAAACCAACAACGGCCAAACAAAGAACGGCGCGTGGCGTGTTGTTGCCTGGCGAAATGGGAAGTTCAAATCCCGGCGAACTACAGCAATCATGCGCAGTGCTCTCGCGAAAGCGGCAATCTGTTGCCGTCGCGCGGTAGCAGGGAGAGCACGCGGAGGTATGAAAATAGCGCATGATTGTTGTAGTTCGCCGACATCCGAGGTTCCCTTTTCGGCAAGCTTTCACACGAGACTGTGAGCGTGCGACCAAGTTCGTATCCCGACGCAGGGAGAGCAGGCGCAGGTATGAAAACGCCCTGCCAGTTGTCAGCGTGCGACGAAGTTCGGATCCCGGCGGACTTGCGATCTCAAGCATGCGAAGTCGCGAGCCGCTCGGATGATTATTGTTGTTTCGACGACGTCGCTGAAATCGCACGCTTACGGTTTGCATGGATCTTTTCAGAGTCCTGGTTACATGACTGTTCTTTGGGAGGCGGTGCCACAAAAACAACAGTCCTATCAATGGGACCCCAAGAACAGCAAAGTGTTTCATGCTCCCGGTCGAACGCGGCAACCGATCTCAAGTTCGGATCCGGGCGGACTTCGTGGTTGGCACCCGTTCGTCGTCCCATGATCCTGGCTGTGAAACCTGCCATTGCCCGACTGCGAGCTCGCCTTGTCTGCGGTACTAATTGGGGGTCCACCAGCCGTGGTCATTTTTTTTCTTGGTGCTTGCATCATTGTCATCACGGATCACAACATTTGCGACTAGATCGCCGCAAGTGCTCGCTTTGTCGATGAGGAGAATCGGGGTCTATGGGGGTCTATTGGGGGCCGCGCTCTGCCGATTTCTGACGTGGTGCACCTGCGATGACCATTTCTGTTGTGTGTGCTCTCTTGGAACAGACACTTGTGAGCAGCAGTGGGGCCTCCCTGACCATGCAGCCACGCATTCCTTCTGTGCACTTCCAAATATCCGTCATCCCCCACGCAAACCGGTTCCTCGCCAGTCCAGCAAGCGCCAAGTTCGGATCCCGACGGATTTTGAGGTCCCGCGTAAATTTAACCGCCCTTTTCGACGGTCTCAACTGTCGAGTGTGTTCTGATTACCAGAGGCCTCCGGGTACGCAAAAGTGCTCGCATAAGGCCTGGAGCTTCAAGTGTGAGTTGATTGCGAGAGGACTGTGGGTGCAAAAAAATGCTCACCTTCTGAGATGCCCTTCGAGGGGTTTGTGGGGGTTGCCGACGGTGATAGCGGCCGTGTCCCTTGTTCGTGTGCCGTGGGCGAGAAAGCCCCCCGAGGGTTTTGACCGTCCCGGTGTGCGGATTCTTGTCGCAGACATGCTCGTCTTTCTGCGTGTTGTCCGGTTCGCGCTGTTGCACATCGACGTTACCGGCGCGCGATTCGGGGGTCGGCTTATCGACTGGCCGAATCAGGGTTTGGACGGGTTGCAGGGGGGATCTTTCATCAATTTGTGCATTTTCCTTGTCTGCGCGGTAGAGATGTCCGAGCTCGATGAACTCTTGCACTAGTAACTCTGAACGGAATTGGGGTGGACGACGGTGTCACTGGCCAGGTCCATTTCCAGTGTGCCGTGGATCTTCGTTCATCGCCGCTCCGAAATGCGGTGCGCCCGTGCATCGCCTGCTTCTATGCAAACGCCATCCACCCTTTCCAAATGCAGACGATTCCACCAAGTTCGGATCTTGGCGAACTTTGGGGAATGGTGCAAACATGTCCGTCCTTCGCATGACGCCTGGAGCTTCGAGTGTGAGTTGATTGCAAGAGGACTGTGGGTGCGAGAAATTGCTCGCTCTCTTAAATGCCCTTCAAGTGGTTCATGGGAGTTGCCGAAAATAAGGGACACGGTCGTTGTCCCTGTCGGCAACCTCCATAAACCCCTTCAAGGGCATTTATGAAGGCAAGCAATTCTCCACATCCATGATCTGTGTTGCCCCCCAATGTTTTTGACCGTCACGGTGTGAGGAGTCTTGTCGCAGACATGCTTGTGTTTCTGCGTGCTGTCCGGTTCGCGCTGTCGCACGTCGACGTTCCCGGCGCGCGAATCGGGGATTGCCTTCTCGACTGGCCGAATCAATGTTTGGAAGGGTCGAAGGGGGGATCTTTCGTCCTTTTCTACATTTTTCTTGTCTGTGCAGTGGAGATGTCGGAGTTCGATAAGCTCTTGCACTAGTACCTGTGAATGGAACACCGCACGAGCTCGCTTAGACGATGGTGAAAATCGGTGTTTATAGGGGTCAGTTTGGGGTCGAGCTGCGCCGAATTGTGTGCTAGTGTATCCACCACTACCCTTTGTTCTGCACGTGCTATCATTCACCAACAAGCGTTCCTTGTGTGCACCCACTGGCGCTACCTTCCACTAACACAGGTCGCGCGAAAACAGGTTCCTTGTTATTCCAGCACCCGCCAAATTCGGATCCCGGCAAACTTTGAGGCTCCGCAAAAATCTGACCATTGTTTTCAACAGCTTGGACTTCCCGGTCCGTCCTCAATGCCGGCGGCCTGGTAGTGCGCAAAAGTGCTCGCCTTGTGAGTTGCCCTGAAAGGGGTTTATTGGGGTTGACGACGGTGTCACTGGCCAGGGCCATTTCCGGTGTGCCGTGGATCTTCGTTCATCGCCGCCCCCAAATGCGGTGCGGCCGAGCATCGCCCACTTCTGTGTGAATGCCATCCACCCGTTCCAATACCTGCAGCGGCGCGAAAACCGGTTACTCGCTGCAGGCAAATCCACCAAGTTCGAATCCTGGCGGACTTTGAGGATCGGCGCAAATCTATCCGTCCTTCGCATGACGCCTGGAGCTTCGAGTATGAGTTGATTGCGAGAGGACCGCGGGTGCGAGAAATTGCTCGCCTTCTGAATTGCCCTTGAAGGGGCTCATGGGGGTTGCCGAAAATAAGGGACACGACCGTTGTCGCCGTCGGCAACCCCCATAAACCCCTTCAAGGGCATTTCAAAAGGCGAGCAATTTTTCGCGCCCTCCATCTTTGTTGCCCCCCAAGGGTTTTGACCGTCACGGTGCGCGGAGTATTGTCGCAGACATGCTTGTGTTTCTGCGTGCTGTGCGGTTCGCGCTGTCTCACATCAACGTTCCACCCTCCAGGCGCGCGAGTCGGGGGTCGCCTTCTCGACTGGCTGAATCAATGTTTGGAAGGGTTGCAGAGGGGATCTTTCATCCATTTCTGCATTTTACTTGTCTGCGCAGTGGAGATCTCCGAATTCGATAAGCTCTTGCACTAGTACCTCTGAATGGAACACCGCACAGGCTCGCTTAGACGATGGTGGGAATCGATGTTTAAAGGGGTCAGTTTGGGGTCGCGCTGCGCCGAATTGTGTGGTGGTGCATCCACCACTACCCTTTGTTCTCCGTGTTCTTTCGTTCAACGACAACACAGCCTTCCTTATGTGCGCCCAAACATAGCGTTCCTTGTGTGCACCCACTGGCGCTCCCTTCTACTAACACCGGCCGTGCGAAAACAGGTTCCTTGCTACTCCAACATCCGCCAAATTCAGATCCCGGCGAACTTTGAGGCTCCGCGTGAATCTGCCCGTTATTTTCAACAGCTTGGACTTCCCAGACCGTCTTCGGTGCCGGCGTCCTGGTAGTGCGTGAAATTGCTCGCTTTGTGAATTGCCCTAAAAGGGGTTTATTGGGGTTGACGACGTTGTCACTGGCCGGGTCCATTTGCAGTATGCCGTCGATCTTCGTTGCCCTCCAATAAAAGCAATCGTCGCGATAAGTGTGGTTTGGTTGTTGTCATGCTTCTGCCACGGCGTGCTTTGCGGTTCGCACAGTAGGGTGTCGACATTGCGAAGGCGCTGTGGTGTCAAAGCCACGCGGGATGCAAAGGCTTTGAGTCCCAGCACACAACTTTCGAATCAACGTGCAGTTACTCGGGGTTTGCGGGGGTCGGCTGAGGGTCATTAAGCCATGTTTTCTTTTGTCTCCTGCCTCTCCTAGCCTTCCGTTCGTTATGACAATAAGCCATGTTTTCTTTTGCGGGGTTTGCGGGGTTTGGTCGACAGCTCGTTATGACGATTGGCCGACAGTCAATTTACTGCGACCCGTTGATAACCGGTTGGCAGTCGATTCGAAATCTGCGAAGTTCGGATCCCGGCGGACTTCTGTGGTCCTCGACAGTTCGGTCGTCCCTTGCGCACGTCTTACTCCTCATAGGACACGTCCTGCTGGGCGCAACATACAAAGAAAAATGT